TGGCTCGGGGTTAGTGGTTAGGGTTAGGGGTTGGGGTTAGGGATTAGTGGTTAGGCTTAGGGGTTATGGGTTATGGTTAGGGGCTAGGGATAGGGGCTCGTGCTAGCGGTTAAGGTTAGGGTTAGTGTTGGGTCTACGATTACGGTTTGGGTTAGAGTCAGTTCAACCCCAACCCTTACCACATCCACTAGACTAGCCTTCATGCTAGCCCAAAACCTAATACTAACCACACCTCGATACCCCCGCAGAAGACTGTCCTTTTCCTTTTCAGCAATGTGGATTTGTGATATTTCAGCATAATCTCGCCTGCCAAAGACAACTCAGTAGTTCCGCAGTATAATCCTCATCAGTTGCCGCTGCACACCATTCTGAACGACGTTTACCACGCGCTGTAACTTTCGATCAGCTGGTTAAATTCCTACCGTATTTTCATCATTGGCGCTTCGGTTTCAGCTCATTCAAAGTTTTTTCACAGAAATTTCACAGCCATCTCACTGACGTGTCCGACTGCCCAACCCGTAAAATCCATCTTACTACCATTCCCGTATTACACGCTGTCGGGGTTTAGCCATTTCACGAGCGGCTACAAGATCGGATCTAACCATGAATACATGTCCATCAACCTACTCTCACTTTAAAGAAGAATTTGACGCAACATGATTGCGAGCGTGGCCTCCTAATACGCATTTTGAGGGTTTCATGATAAGACCGACCTGCTCTAAACTGTTGAGTAATAACCGCAGTTAGTGCAGGGCATTGCCGCAGTCCTTTCCAAGAACGATGATATCATCTAGATACACCAACCAAGCCTTCTGAATAAACTGTGCTAGGACTTGGATAATGAACCGCTGAAATTTGCTCAGCGCATTAGCCAAACTGAAGAGAGAGAGAGAGAGAGAGAGAGAGAGAGAGAGAGGAATGCGCTTTCTTTTGAAATCATATGTTCAAAATTTTCAGCAAAAAGTTGGCTCCATTCACTATGGGCAGTAAATAAGATAATAGATTATTCAAGAGTCAAAGTTTAACACAAAGAAACGATTATTATGGGGATAGTTCAAGTCTTAGCTTCTGTATTTCTGTCTCTTCGCACGTAAGATAGCGCGCTAGGAATGGCAATACAGAAGCTCGATAAGCCGATGTGCGATAGGATATAAGACGGAAGTTGCGGCGCATCGGGCGGGTAGACTTGGCAGACATAAGATCGGAATGTAGGGGATGGGCAACGTCATCTAGAATTCGACCAGCAAATTGCTTGACCGCATTGAAGTGTCGTTGTAAGATAGTGTCATGGTTTCAAAATGATATAATCCCGAAGGTACGGGAAACGTCTTTTTCTCGCGGTCGATGTTCTAACTTCTACTTGTCAACACCAGAAGGCTAAATCCAGAGTGAAAACGCTGCATCCGGGGTTTCATCAGTCCAGGGTAGGGGAGAAGAGTCCATCATTGCCACTTAATCCACTTTGCGATAGTCGACTCACAAATCCTAAGTCCCATGCCTCTTCATGACTAACACAACCGGTAACGATGCAAGGGAATTAGATAGCCTAGTGGTTTTTCGATTAAGCATATTGTCCAGAACTGTTTGGATTGTGTTTGGTAAAACACGAGCAACCGCCTAGGCAGAATCTTGTTTGGGCAAGCTGTGCCCCTTTCTATGGGGTGTTGGGCAACATTGGTTCTTGCGAATGAACAGCTATCCCAGCCGAATATGCCCTTAAATTCCTGTAGCAGGCCGTTCAGTTTGGCCGATGTGACTAGCATTTGCGCCCGCCCTGTCATCCTGAACGAATGTATCTTCAGAACCTATTTGCAGCTTATGTCTATCCCAGACATTTCGTCGAGAGAAGCAGACGTCGGGCGCACAGACGACGGCCAAATGAGCAGCAACCTGAAGTCTGGAGGGCCATTCCCTACGTTAAAGGGGCCTCTGCGGCGGTCTCACAATTGTTACAACCTGCCAGGGTAGGCATAGACCACCGACCCCAGGCAACAATTCGACGCCGTCCGATGCAACCTAAGGACCCATTGCCACCCCGGCCGAAACCTCAGCAGTTATATACAAAATAAATTGCAATGAGGGCGACTGCAACTATGTGGGAGAAACCGGGCGGAAATTACAGACTCGCCTACAAAAGCACAAATTGGCTACTCGAAGGTTAGACCCAAACTCTCAATTAGCAACACACGTTGGAGAAACTGGGTATACTTTCGATCTCCAGCGAGATACCATCTTAGGCCGGGGCAACACAAAAGCAGAACAGCTAACTCTTGAGGCGTGGTTCTCCGATGCCCACTCCCTCAACAGGCATCTGGACATTCCTGCAGCTTACAAAGTCTTACATCATCACAATCGTGGAGCTCAGGACCAAACAACCACACCGGGCTTAAGAAGGCCATATGGAGACAGCCCGACGGCGAGTTTACTCAGTGAAGAAGAACAAGAACCGCCAGACCGACCACCCGACACTGGTTCAGTCACCTCTCCCCGGCGGAGCGGTGAGTCACAACGCGCGCAGACAAAACGCCCGTCAACCGTCCCCCGAGAGACCGAGGCAGCGAGAGGAGAGAAAAATCGATCAACACGAGGCCGACCAGCGTGACATTGCACTTGGGATTTTTGGTCGATTAAGTGCAGTTTACGCTTTAACAATGGAGGGCCGACTAAGGTCTTAGAAACGTCAGCATCTTAATAAACCCGTTCCGGTGAGTCATCTTCAAATTATCCTGAATTTTTTAATTTCCTGTCCACAATCAGGTATCTCAACCCTAAACTGCACCACAGTGATAGTTCGACCGTCTTTTCCGACGACCTCCACCGTGTGCTCCAAAACATGGTGAAGCAGATGGGGTGACTTGCGCATGATTCAGTTTATAGTGAATGCCGAATTGCATAACATCTACCGCACTCCCTCCTCCTTCACCACCTTGACCCAGTTTCAAGACACGATCAAGGAGACCGGAGGCGGGTGGGGGACGCAGGTGGATGGCATGGTCGAGCCTGCGCCTTGGCGCCCCACTCCACACCCCCTAGTCCACACAGTAAATGACCAGATTTTTTAACCAACAACAACCATGGGAGACTGACAGGGCCGAAGCCGCACCTGAACGTTCCGTCACACCCGGCTCGGATCCAACGGAGTGGGAGTGCCATAAAGACCACATTAAGAAGGAGTCATTGCAGCCTGACTTTTAGACCACCAGCCGGTCACTCCACACAATACTGGGTCGACTGCGAGGTCCAAGTTATCCCGTTTGTTGACAAGCTTACAAGCCACGGCTTTTAGCGCACCGTGATAGCTTCAAGCGCGTCACATTGTTTATAATGAGGAAAGTATGCTGAGTCGTCAACCTCACTCTCCCTTCCCACTCCCATGCCTCAGCCACTGTCCGAACCGGTAATTTGACCGGTGGCTGACGTGGTAGACTGACCTTGTCTGCGCGCACCACATGCATGATCTGGTCCCCCCCCCCCAAACACAATCTCCAGGATTTCACACAACGGGCGTTGGGCGGCGTAATCTAACATGCGTGGGAGTGCCAGAGACCGTGTTAAGGAGCCGTTTCAGCCTGGCTCTCAGCCCACCAGTCCGCCATTCCACACAAACACACGCACACAAATGGGCAGACTGCGGCGTCAGTCGGCAGCCTCCCAAGTCACGGCGCTTGACGCGCCATGATAGTCTCAGACTCAAATCACACATGCAGCAGAGGAGCCGCATGGAGGCGGAGCCGAGGCGCACACTTTCCACTTGCATGGGAGGTGGCAGTTGGATACTTGCGGCGGGTGATAGTGTTATGTGGTGCAGGTGTTGGTAGGGGAGGCTGCGATGGTATGGTTAAGCCGGCGGTTGCCCACCGCAAGTTTTTGTGAATGTGCATGCGGTCTAATAGGCCTATGTGGTGGGTGAATCTGCTGATGCAGTGAAGGTAGATGAAGCGAATGCGTCTGATGTATTTTGGTGCTCCAGGCACTAGTTTGTCAGTCCCTGTGCAATGGATTCGCAAGTGACCAGGCCGATCTGTGATGTGAATGAACGGTGAGAGTGTGAACAGAAATAGTCGGCGATGCCAGTGTCGGTTTCGGATTTGGTGACAGTGGTGGACATGTTGGGCGACGGGGCGTTTGTTGGGTTAGGCATGATGTGTGTGCAAGGTGTGCTGAGTGTGGTAGAGCTGATGGCGGTGGGTGTGCTGGGCGGCGGTCTGTGGATGGAGCTAGGCCTGGTGGATGTGCCTGAGGTGCTAGGTGTGTCGAGGCTGCGGTCAATCCCGCTCTCGCGGATACGCATGTGACCGGTGGTGGTGGTGGTGGTGGTGGTGG